CATATTACGTACAAAGAAGGACGTGTCTAGGGTTGGCATCGTGGGCAGTGTAGCTGAAGGGGAAAGGCCGAGTGACTGAAGTATGGTAGAGGTTCCATGCGCGGCCATAGAGACAATCGGAAACTGGAGACCCTTGGTCCAACGGCGGATTGCGCGATGATGTCGAGCATCTGCCCACGTACTCGGCGTAGGTTTCCCATGACCGTTTCCATCCGAGGCAGGAAAAACAGATGCTCGCCAATCATGTTCCCGGTGACTTGATCAAGCCGTGTCAGTCGAAATTCCACCCAGTGTATATGCTCCGAGAGAAAGAACGCCGACAAGTGGAGAAAAATATCTTCAGGTTGCGTGGACATAGCCAGAGGATCCGGACCGGTCCATTGGAAGCCGGATGCATCATCGTGGCTGGGGTGGAAGAAGCATTCAATCAAGGGGGGTGGCAGAGCGTCCATTCTCGCAGAATGGGTGAGAAGATCAAATGCATGACCCCCGTGGTCAGCAGCAAGACAGGGAGGTGGTGTCGGTATACCAGAGAACTCTCGCCAGATTGCGTGGAGATCAAGGTCGAAGTCAGAGTCTGTATTACCGTGAGCACATGTTGGTAAGAAATCCACGCGTACTTACCATCCCGAACTAGATCATTCATGTTCATTTTATCCTACTGATATGGATGTGGTGCAGAAGACCAGGTATTTATTGACTAGCGAGGTAGAATAGCTGAAAGAAAGAAGATTGATGTAGAGACTGACAGCTTAAATGTCTTCGAAGCGTGGCAGCAGGGGCAGTGAAAAGCTTCCATTTCCACGAGTCTAGCAATAAAATACCACAGAATTGGTCAGAATTGATATCTTTCACCCGGTTCAACAGTGTTTAACCACATCTCACCACCATCAACATTGATCAAGACATTGAAGAACTGGCTATCAAAGAGCTTGAGATACGCAAAACCCCCCAAAACTCCCCTGCCTTTCCTCTCAAGCTACTCGGGTCTTGCCAAAGGCATGTCGGCACGAAAAGTCTGTTCACCACTCGCTTTCAGGACTGAAGTTATGCCGGCATGAAGTTCACGAAGCACGCATTCGCGGCTCCACAACCATAGTGCTTATTCATTACAGCGCTGTACGAGAAGATCGTTCTCGACTTCCAGCCACTCGTTGGACTCTCGAAGTTCCTGCTGTTCTTCATCCAGATGGATCTTCTCGGCGGATTTCACGACCTAACAGTCCCAGAGACAAAAAGGTCGAGAAGTTTGAGAGCGGGCACGGCAAGGTCCGCCTGACTGCGCAGAATCTGCATGAGCTGCGTTGTAAGAAGACCGGCCGCGTTGACGGGGGTCTGTGAGTATTTAGTGTCGTTCATTACGGTAGCTGTCGGGAACAGACTGACCTTGGGAGCGATCGCTGCATGACCTATCTCTGACTGGAAATCTCTCACATGGACATCATCCATTGGCTGTTTGGATAGCCGGCGCTGCCTCTTAGCGGGTCGATCTGCAGAAGAAGGAGAAGGTGGGTGGTCCATTGGGCTTGCTTGCTGGATGAAAGGAATCATGCCGCAACGGAGAGATTTATACAATAGACGGGACTCAAGTTTCTACATTATGAGCTAGTAAGACGACCGCTAAGTGTTAAAATTTCAACAAATCAGGATTCACCAGTAAACAGCTGATGCCCCACCTGTTGGCCCAACACGTTGGGCACAGCAAGAAATGAAATTCTCGCTCCTGAGATTCGCAAATACGAAGAATGGACTTGCTACCGGATATATACCTGGCCCGGACCCTCAATTTGAACCTGCCAAGACGCCCAGGATGGTTCATTTGGCCCACCCCGTATCTCGAGCATAGGTCTAGCCAGAGTACAGGGATGCAGTGAAAAGCGCAAGACGGAATACACGGGAGGAGGATGTGTAGGCAACTGAGAATTTCAACATCCTGCGGTTGGGTCTCCCTACATTGCTCATACTCGCAGTGTGGCATGTCACACAAGGTATTTCCCATTGACACTCCGCCTGGATTTTATTTTGAGCCACACATTATAATCCTTTTTCGTTCCCCGATGCCCCGTTGCATTGTTTACGTCGCCTTTTCGCGGACAGCTCCCCTCCTGGTAATCAATTTTTCGCCTACTTCAAAGCTAACTATGCAAAGTCTGTGTTTGAGGAATGCGATAATGAAATTGGACAAGCACTCAACCGCCGGCTGATAAAACGCCATATAATGAGTTACAGGGAGATGGCAAACAACCATAACGTCAAATTGGCCTACGTAGCCATTGTTCTGGGAGGTGGGCTTAGTGTCGTGCTGTTTGTCTCACTGAGCATACAAACAAACAATTCATTAACGCCCGGCGGCTGAGCCGAAAGGGCAACTATCACTAATCTACTGTACATGTCCATCTGTGTATGCTGTGTCTCCTGAAAGCCCATACATAAAACCTTAGAACATATAACATTTCCAGAAAGCAGTATCGCAGCGAGTTTCTCGTGGGTTAGTAAGTGGGTTAGTAGGCTGGCTTGAAGGCGCTTCTCCAAGTGTTCAACATCCTATCTTCGGCAGTTGAAGCGCGTCTACCATGTGTAGCACGAGGTGGTGGGTAAGTAGGGTCGGAAGAAGGGGTGGGGGTTATGTTGGTCGATATCAACCATTGATTCGAGTATCTTTCCTAGTGTCGGGTAACTGGTTGGAGGAGTGCGCGCGACATCTGCATAGGATGGGGAACTCGTGGGAGCGGGGACGCTAATTTCTTTGCGTCAGGATTGAATCTCGCGGAGAATCGCATCATGGTTGTTCTGAGAGCATGCCTCGGAGTGGCATTGCGGTGTCAAGGGTCTATCAGTCAGGTTCTGTAGCTCGTGTCGGACCTGGGCGAGAGCGGCACCAAACTCTGCTTGGGCTTTTAGTAGTTCTTCCATATGTATCTCATTGCGGAGTCTGATCTCCCTCCTGAGTTTGGCGATCTCTTGCACCAAATTGCTGACATCGAGGTCGTCGCTCTCGGTCGCAGAGTCGTCCGAAGTTGCCACGTCAGGCTGGTCTTCGGGTTCGATTCTCTTCTTTGGTAGCGGTCGCGTCTTCCTCTGCTCGTTGTCGATCTCTTGCTCTCGAGCATAGTTTTTCGGTGGTTTGGTGGTGCGCTTCGGTCTCGACGATCGCGGTGGCGTATCCTCGCGTTCATCGCGGTCGGGCGGATCAGGGGTTCGCATCGCGGCCCGTCCCGTCATTACTCACTCGATACGGGAGGTCGGTATTTTCGCCACGTGGCACAAAAAGGCTTCACTGGGCAGTACCCGTCGTTTGTATTCACAGTTGATCAGTAGGTGTTACCGACGACTGGTACAGTAAATGTTGAGTCATTGTGTGGATGACATGAGTTTGGCTCCGGTGTCGGGGCTGCCTCGCTATGGTATTCAACAGGATGAGGGATTGATGCACTGGATAGTAATGGACATGTCTAATAGAGTCCTAATATTGTGTGAAGGTTCATAGATTTTCTAAAGCGATCTCTGGGACCTACTTTCCGGGGTCTGGCGTGTTATGGTGTCCAATTCTAATCCGAATACCGTACAAAAGTTTGAAGAGGTTGGGTGAACGATGAACGATCCTGTCTCAAAAGGTCACAGCGGTAGCTGATGTATCGAGAGCCTCTATCAAGGGCGACAGCCTTCCTGGTGATCTTGTCTACAGCCTACTTTGAGATCCACTACTGTCGCCATGGTCATGTTTGAGCCTCGCTATACCCAGTAGAACGTCTTTTCCGACAGGAATAATACCATGGTTATCTATGGCTACGTGGCTGATTGTGTACTTCTCTTACTGTTGATAATCTTAAGTGAGATAAATTGGTATATTCGCGAGACATACTACGCCAAATACATCTACCGAACCTTGAGCTGAGAGACGCTCCACTTTGATGCACTGATTTACTCTCCTCGCTAGTGGTACTTACTGCTCATTGAATGAACAAATAACAATCACGTCGGTGGTTGAAATTGTCAACAACTTTGAGAACAGCAAGACAACTTCCCTCACCAATTGGAGTCAATTGACCTTGCGAGGAAGACACCTTCACTCGGCTTGGCATAATGATCAGTATGTATGATTTTATTATGTATGTAGATGAGCCGGAAATCTTACAAACCTAGCAAGGAGAAATACCGGCAACGCTAGATCTGTTCTTTACTAGTACTGTAGAAATAACTTTATTCACCACCTTGGCAAAACGCATATACCCTTGACTGAATCTTCAAAATAATTCTTGGTTGAGTGATCCCCTGAACCCAGCGCCAATCTCTGCATAGCCCATCGTTCGCGCTACAAATGATTTCTCATACAAGGCGTGGGCCAGGAATGAGAGCAGACATTCATGTTTGTGGTTACTGCGGCCATGTGGCAATTTGCGTTGATGAATTCACAAGCTAGTTCCAGACTCATGAAGCCGACTCCCATATCCCACACGGTCGATTTTAGGATCATCTTGATCAGTCCTGGGAGCTGTAACGCTCCTAGGATACCCACTCAAGATCCCGGGCCAGGGTTGTGCTTCCGGGACCCAAGGCGGGTATTCTCGGGGCTGGCATTCTGGCTTCACGTGCAGACTCCTGGCTCAAGCACGCAGTGAAAACACCGGTCCTGGGATTTCAATCACTGATCCTGCGAATGACTGAACCGAAACTGGGAATGCAATCACTGGCCCTGGGAGCTAGCCTGCTCCTGGGGCTCTTGAGCCATGTCCTGGAGCCGTTGTGTTTGATCCTAGGGCCAAACCTTCGCTTTCAGGGAATGAAGTAGGGTATCCCTGGCAGAGGCACTTTGGATTCACGTGCAGACTTCTGGCCCGAGTGGAGAACCTGATCCTCGAACCTCAAATTGAATAGTGTTCTAGAGTTTGAGTGCATAAAAGGAAGAGCACACACGGCGCTGTGAGACCTCGGATAGTCAATTTCGCCATCAGCTGATACTGATCCCCTAAATCAACCCAACACGGCAAAAGTACACTCTCATGCTTTGCGAACTTCCAAAAGAGCTCTTGCTCTGGATTTGCAAATTCCTCCAAACAGACCACATTCTGAGTCTATGCCTGGTCAGTCGTCGAACCAATTCTATTTTCACTGAGGCGCTTTTTGTGTGCCTTGTCTCTAATGAAATTCCGCCACTCTTTCGTGCCGTGAAAGCCCAAAAACTAGACATTGGAGCGCGATTGATCGAGGAATACCACGTGAATATCGACGCTGAGTACGCAGGGCAGAACGCGCTCCTCCTAGCTATTGAGCTACGATACCCACAGGCCGTGGATCTGGTCCTGCGATATAAGCCCAATGTTCGCTGTTCTTGCGATTCTGGAGGCCGAGGCCCTTTGTCACTTGCAGTTATCGGCGGAAATACTGCTATCGTTGAGCGGATTCTTCAATCACAGGAGATTGATGTCAATGATCGATGCTTGGACGGGTTCTCTGCCATAGCATACGCGCTGAAGCATCGCGAGCACTATATTTTGCATCTCTTGCTTGCTGACCCCCGAGCGAATGTCAACTTTGCAGATCATTTCGATCGGACGCCCCTGCAATCTGCGACCCTGGAAGGGGATCATATCGCCACGCAGATGCTGGTACGACAGGCAGGAATCAATATCAATCACCAGAGCTCCTACGATGATGCACCTCTCCTCTTGTCTGCGAAAATGCTCAATCAACAGCAATCAGTCCGCATCGTGGAGTCTCTTTTCCTACATCCCGACCTTGATGTGAACATATCTGACTCCGACGAGCGAACAGCATTGTGGCACGCTGTAGATCATGGACACCATGATCTTGTGAAATTACTTGTTAGCCACAGGTATGTGAGATTGAATGATGCTGATAGATATGGGGTGACGCCATTAGCCCGAGCTGCTGAGATGCCTGTCTTGCAAGTTTTAAAGTTATTACTGCAACAGCCGGAAATATGCATCAACTCGCAGACTAGGCAAATTGTGCCTCCGCTTTGGTCTGCTTGTCGCGTAGGCAACTTTCAGGCGGCAAAAATACTCCTTCGTTGCAGGTCACTCGAGGTCAATCAGAAAAGCCCTACTGGAACTACTCCGCTCCAAGTAGCTATCATTCTGAATCATCTATCCATTGTATCTCTGCTTCTCCGACAAGGAGACAGGGTCGAGATCAATACCCGTGGTCCTCAACAATGGACAGCCATTTTCTTTGCCGCATCCAATGGGTATTTGGCAGTGACCAAATCGTTGCTGAAACATCCTGATATGGACATCAGCCTGAATGATGACCGAGGACGGACAGCGCTTTGGTGGGCAGAGCATGGGGGGCATTCGAGAGTTGTTCACTTGCTGCGCAGGCACAGTCGACTGAAGAGGCAGAGGCGTTGATGCGAGATCTGTCTAGGGCTAGCTACCCCGATTTTTATGCCTACAGGCACACGTCGAGCAAAAGATCCATGCTTCAGGCTACGACAGACTGCCACCTTGCAGCCCATCTTGTATCAATGCACACTCGGCCAATATTTCGCGATTTGAGAATCGAATCAGGGTGCCAGACAAGTCTACAAACCCATTCCGCCGTGGACAAAGAGGTATGGTGGAGCAATTTATGTATGGGCTGAAGAGTTGAGGTCCAAGATGATAAATGTGAGTGGTCCCATATCGCCGGATGTATACTGACATCTTTGGAACAGTCTTTGAACAGTCACCCGTCAAGTGCGTTACATCGTAACGACACAATGTGCACATACTCGCTATCCTCGAATAACGCATCCTTCCCGCGGGGAAGATCATCACTCGACATGAACATAGCAGTGGCAGACGAAAGTCTGTGGCATTAGGCTGCTCGGAAGTCGGCGCGACTGCAGGACGCTTGATCAGCACGATCAGAGTAGCAATCTCTTCAATGAATCCGATAATGCGGCCAGCCCATTTGGCGAGAGACATGGGCTCCTCGTTTGAGCATACCGTGTGACGGGTATGTCGTCTCGACCTTGACACGCATGCAATCAATTGCGGTGAAATGGCAGTTCCGCCATCGCCTCAAGGTCAAATGCCGACACCGAGTATCCCTCGCCAATCCCGACAACTGGGGGTATCAGTGACCAACTTTCAACCGAGATGCCAATTATGAAGACCGCATTCACACTACACATGGCTGGCCGGGTGATCAATGGCGAACAATCTATATCCCATGCACTCCTGCTTGGTTTTCCCGGTAGCAGCCCTCGTCACATAGACTGAGGTGGGGATCCGAGACGGGGATCATCACAAATACCGTCGGCCCGCAAGCCCAAATATTGAGCGTTGGCTCTTTTGCTAGACTTTTGCAAAGGGTCACCTTAATGATTGGGCAGTCCCAAGATGAGTTCATTCAGTTTGGATTTTGCACCCGTCGCCCATCCTCCAATCGCCCGTCAAAACGCTGATCCGTCATCGGATTAATGTGAGTCAAAAGTCCCTTTTCTGATCTGTGAGCTAACGTATCCCCAACAGAATTTGTCTCGATGAAACCCAAAGCACGCCATCACCGCCGCAGGCATTTGACTGCTTTTTTCGGATATGTAGCTCATTATAAAGTACGCGTTGTCGGTTTCTCGAACGAAGGGCATGCTGAAGAACATGCGCACGAAGGACATGACTGCCACGGTTGTCTGGCTCAGGTCAGTGCCATGGCTGGACTTGGTCGGTCTTGAGTCAGCTTTGTGGGAGTTTTCTTGTGGGAGTTTTCTTGTGGGAGTTGGCTTGTGGGAATGGGCTTGTGGGAACGGGCTCGTGGGAGTTGGCTCGTGGGAGTTGGCTTGTGGGAGTTGGCTTGTGGGCTTCGATACGTGAAAGCATCGATACGTGAAAAGCGGCTCGTGGGAGTGGGCTCGTGGGCATTGATATGTGGAATTCGGCTCGTGGAATTGGTTCGACTAGGACTAGGGGGAAGATACCTCTGCTCGAGGTATGCTTCATAGCCTTTCTTGTCGACTACAGCTCTGATATCAACTAGGAGAAAGAGAGAGAGGCCCAGCGCGATCTTGAAAGATTGACTAGAGCGAGCATTGATTGAGTCGAAACTTGGACACCGGCAGAGCAATTGCGTGGTCTGTAATATCTACCGGACTTCATCAGAGGATCAAACATCAGGTAGAGCCGAGTGTTACAAGCGATGAGATCCGATGTCGACTGACTTGTTTCAAACGGCCACTGTCATGTGCAGACCAACTCCGCCGGACGTCGCGCAAACAACACTGCACCACGCGTCTGGTACGGCCTCACCGCCTTTGCCGTCGCGTCAGACTGGTGGACGGGAACGCCAGTCCAACCTCTCTCGCTTTGGACACACCAGGCTGATTTCCATCCGTGAGGGTGCGAGTGCCGACACCATTCGACATTCTTGCCCGACAAGCAGCTCAGCTTGCGAATGTTTATCATTCTTGGCGACCCTGCCTCCCTGCTGCGCGACCGACTATTACCGATCTACGTACACTGCAGTAGTCGAGCGAATATGCATTCCAGGCTGATCCAGTCGGCATTTGCGGTAACATGCAAGCAGATGCCGTCACCATGTCCTCGGTCCGGTCGAGAGAAGACGATACTCGAAACTTGAGTAAAGGTTCAACACAGGGATTCATCTCATGCAATGAGAATCTTGATGGATGTGCTCTCTTCATGGGCTGATTGGACGTAACTATCAAGCGGCACGTATGACATTGCGCCCGCTGGTACTTGGTCTTTTGTCGGTGGAGCGACATGTCCAAGGGTGGGTGAGATGAAGCCACATCTGCCCAGCTATGCAGTGCAGTCTGCGAGCTCGGCAACTTTGGCTCAACCCAAGCCCTTCAGAAGCCTTCCGTACTGATCTTGTCAGTCGTTCTGAGGTCTGGGAGGTCTCAGATAACCAAATTCCGCCGTCCCTCCCAGTATCGGTCAAATTGCGGTTCTGCTCGAGCTATTCAAAGTGATTGGAGGTCTCGAAATGCTTGTGTCCTCTCAAACGTCTCTGAACACGTAATCAGGGTCGAACAGCATGTACCAATGGTATGGGTCACGTCTGTGTACTTGTCTGGTATTCTCTAGTCTCCACCACAGCAATTTAACATGTGGTACGCTGACTAATAAAGTTGATTACATGATCAATTGTTCCGACAAAACGGCTTTGTCACGTGACACGTGCTACGGCCCCGATGCTGCTGAAGAGAAGTCGATTTGAGCTTCCAAAAATCCATGCCCATTTTATTGGCGAATCGAAAATAACGGAGAATTCCGTACTCGGTTATATGGGTTTTGCCCAGGAATTCAGTCTGCTAGGTGTGGGGATCTATGAAGAGGAAGCTATCATTGTGTAAGGCTACCCGTCGAACTGCCATGGCAGAACAAAGAAGGGGTCTTGCGCATTGGTGCTTGATATCTAGCTCCGTTGCCTGTCATTCAGGTACAACAGTGGGAGTTGCGCTACAGTGATGTGGTGTGAGATGCGAGCTCGCCGTCTCTACGTTGCATCATGACGGCACGCGTCCACATCGCAGTCTTGAGCATCTAATCATGTAGCTATGTCTTTCATCCCGATGGGCAGCTTTGCGTCGCTGTGTAGCTGATGTCTTGCGATGTATTGCTCCCACAAGGCTTCGAATCACGCGTGAGCTGTTGACTCACGAAGCAAGACTGCAAGGCTCGTTCGTGGCATTCTCAAATGCTTTCATCTAGTTCTAAGACGAGTGCTCGTCATGCTAGGCAAAGTCTAGGCCGGTGATGCAGGGCTCATTATGCTTTCGTCCTGCATGCTGCTTTTTCAACCGCCTGCGTAATTCCCTGATAACACTCGATGGTGTATCCTTTTCGTAGACTGATGACTGCTGTTTGTGAGACACATGCAGTAGACCGACTTGTTCGATGTCTGGGATGGTAGCCTTGTCAGTGTGTGGGACAGGGGAAGCTCGCAACGTAGACGTACACAAAGGATGTGAATAGTGTCATTTCATCGGATCTAGGGCTCACGCGCAGTGATGTGGGACTCAACGGTCGGGCTGCTGAGCATTAGTTTCATGTTTGTATCATACGTGGTCGACTTTGAATCAACTTGATCCCAATTGTCTCATGATGTGTCGCAGTCGTACTCAGAGGAGACTGGTGTAGACTTATTGGTCATATTTTTGTGAGACCGCTAGAAATCCCAGTCATGCATGCGATTTAGATGTCATACAGTAGTATACGTAGTGCTAAAAAAAATGTTGTTCGTTCATTGGAGGTGTCATATACTGTACACATGTGGTATATATATCGGGAAGTTTGAGCCGAGTGGATTCTTGGTGTAGATTACTGGGATTTTTGACGTGATGTAGCTTTCCGTATGGAATATAATTATCGACCGTATGTCAAAACTCTGTTACTTGTCCGAGAGGACTTGACAACCACTGTTGGCCTATGAGAGAAATACAGTGCTGTGGGCGGGATCTTCCTCCAAGTCGGACGGAGCGTGCGCGAGGGAAGACACACCGCCTGAGCGCCTCACCCCGTTTGACAACAACGCGTCCAGACTCAGCTTTTTTGCCCATCGACGCATCGGCACCGTCATCATCGACAAATTGTCTCCAGTGCTGGCCACTATTTTCCAGGCTGGTCACGGTTTCAAGCTGGTCACGGTTTCAAGCTGGTCACGTTTCAAGCTGGTCACGGTTCTTAAGCTGGTCACTGTTCATGAAGTCGTGCTCGATTGTTTACCAACGCTCATTCAACTGTTTGCATAGCATTTCAACTGTTAAAAAGCCGGTGAACTGTTTGGAAAGCCGGTCAACTGTTGAGGAAGCCGTTTAACCGTTTAGACAGCCGGCTCAACTGTTTACCAGAGCAGACTCAACTGTCTACACACGCTCATTCAACTGTTGATGAGAACAGTTCAACTATTTACCAGGCCCGGCTCAACTATTTATCAGAGCAGACTCAACTATTTACGCACGCTCATGCAACGGTTCACGACGCTCAGTCAACTATCACCGAAGCAGGCTGGTTGCCACCATGGACTATTGATCA